TATTATTATTATAGGCTCTCTAAAATCCCAGGACATAGAATGATGGGCTTAATTTTTTAAAAAGATTCTTATGACATCACTAAATAACATTTCCAAACTGTTCCATTAAATCATTCTTATGTGATAGAATCGCTGAAGGTTATGAAATCTGGGGGTTCTCTGGTTTCATTAAAAAACCTTTTAATTGTGTCTTTCACAGTTGGCCCCAGGTGTTGGACTCTTTTCATTACATTTTGCTCTAATGTGATGAAATTCTAATTCTCTCCTTACCATATGGTTAAATTTTCCCACTGAGAATTAGTTGAAAAAGAAGAAATAATCTATTAATCTCTGTAATAGATTCACAAATGAGGTTTGCCACAGGACCTTGTTTTTGAATGGCAGTATCAGAACAGTTGGGTGTCTTGTTTCAGCAAAGAAAAGGCGCAGGCGACGACAGACTCCGCTCGATTTTTTTTTCACCTGGAAAAGAATGAAAAGAAGCCAAGCTGGACCCTTCTCTCCGCTCCGCCATCCCTTCCCCCCCCCCGCTCCACCTCCCTCGATTTCCGTCTAGCAAGGACTCGATTATTATAGAGAGTCGTCCTCGTGGAGTACGTTTAAGAAGACGCGCGTCAAGCTTATTGGGAGGACTTCTTCCCACTAAAGCTGCATTTGACTCGGACCTATTCAGGACCCTGGATTGATCACGAATCTCGCGCCCTCCAAATAGTACAATCTTTCCCAAATGGCTCTGTTCACTTCTGTCGCAGGTTGCTCTTTCCTAACAAGCAACTTCAGCCTCGCTGGGACTCTGAACAGAGCGGGGTAGGAAGCCATTTTAATCAGTAGGATAATTTGCCACCACCGTCCATTCAATTCTAACTTGTGAGACGTCTAAAATGAGGAATCCTGTTATTGTTACGTGACGGAGATGGAGAACCTCCTCACTCCTCTGGTTCTTGGGAGAGAAAAGGGGCTTCCGTCGTCACTGGTTTATCATGGTTCATTAACTCCACCCCCATTCCGCCTCCCCATCTTCGCTTTTCGGCTAGCAGTTCACCTTGCCCAGTAAGCAGTTCGGGAAATGAGAAATGGAGTAGCTCAGATGTTGGTGTAACGTACAAGGCATTTCATCATCATAATCAGAGCGCTGATCGCACGCAGAAAGAGGGACTGGTTAGCTGAGTGATTGATGCCGTGTCACTCGCTGGACAGGTGGGCCACTCCACAGTGAACAGGTGGAAGAAGTGTAAGGTCATACCATAAACAACGAGTTTCAAGAAGGCGCCGTGTCTCCTGGTGTCCCCTAGGGGCTAGGTTCTTCTTTTTTCCTCATAAAAAGAGTTGCCGTCTTCCTGATTAAACACGTTACCCCCCTCTCGGAGAGTTTTCCCCCACCATCTATTATCTACCTCTTCCCGAAAACTATTGCTTCTCTGTTTGCCAGGATCTGTATGTCCCGCCCTGGTTTAAAAAACCAACAACAACAAACCACCTTCAACCTTTCTCTGAGCCTCCCAGCTAGATATATCTCAAGAAACTCATATAGTTCTCAATCATTTTTGCTCCTGAGATACCTCAGCTCTTCTGCAGAATACTCTTCTCCTGAATTCCCCTGAGAAAGGTAGCTATTTAATAGTCGCCACTAACTTTAGTTTGGAAGCTGGCAGAATAATTTATAGAAGCTTTAAATGCGCTTCTTATAAAAAATACCCGAGGAATGGTCTTTGTGGTTTATGCACTCGTAAACTTTTGCTGATTGCTTCTGGGAAGTTGTCAGACATTTAACACTGCATTTATCTTACAGTGCAATGAAAACACATCTGCCCAGTGTCTCGTTACCTGGTTTAATTGTTGCGCAGCCCTATGTCACTGGCGAACCTGGACTCCCACTTTTTCATGATGGCAGTCGCCGGTAGCCAGGGTCTGTGGGGCGAAGAAGAGAAGGCATGGAAAGGCGCTCACAAATCAAGCAACTTGCCTATTATGTCGAAGAAACGTAAACTGCGGGTGAACTTTCCTAGACGGCGGGGCGGTGCTTCAATTTGCAACTGCGGCGAGCAGGCAGGACTGGAAGAATTATGCCCCGTCACAAAAGGAGGACATTCAATTTAGGGCATGCGAAGTATCTCTCCGAGACAGGCCGAGGTCTGCTCTGACGTTACGCCTAGCACAGGAAAAGCGGTTGGGGCGGAGTGGGAAGCTTGTCAGATTCCTCTTAGTGACAAAAGCCTTTAACTATGAATGTCACTAAAAGGACATCTTAGTAGTGGCAAAAGGGGAAGGGCAAAGAGTTTTCCATACACTGCAAGAGCCAACTGAGAGCTGAATATTTAAAAGACACCACTTTGCAGCTTCCTCCCTTTGGTGCCATGAAGTGTCCCTGTCTGAGCTACAAACAATGTAATATTTCCTTTGAGCTAAAATTCCAGTGAACTTAATAGGGCATATCTCTGAGAAGGTGTGTCTGGGGTTGCCCTATACCAGGTAAGTGCTAGAAAACTTTAGGAGTGCTTGCAAACAGGCACAAGAACTTCGAATCCAATAATGAATTGCACTTAGACAAAGAGGCAGGAGAACTTCCCTTATGCGCCTAAAATGAAAATTTCCGCGGAGATCACCTCACATATCATAAATGTTAAGGGAGAGAATCCAGACGTTCATCTCAGAGTGGGCAGAGAGGAAGAGAGTCCCGGAGCCAAGCGTATGTGAACCGCAACAAACCTCCACAAATAACCCTGAAGAAAGCAGTTTGGAAACCCACTGTTAGCGCAAGACCAAATACATTAGTGAATAATACATTGCGTCTATAGCTAAACAAAATTACCTGGCACAAGTCCACTAAACTCAATGGAGCTTATATCTAAATAAATATGTATTGGGCTCAACGGTTAGTTAGGTCAGGAACTAGCTAGCAAACAAACCTGTGCATTCCCTTTGAA